AGGCCCACAGTTAAGGTGAGCGTGGAGTCGCGCCTGGTCGCTGTAAATCCTTTTGATGGCAGTTTTCTGAAGAGTGGAAACACAGCCCTTGCACCTTGCTGGTGATGGTGGGCATCATGCCTCACTGTTGGCACAGTGTGTACTGCAGTGGTATCAGGACTTCAGAATAACAAAGCATTTCTGGACAATGTGGCAGACTTCACAGCAGCCTGGACTGTTCTGGAGACCTCAACGAGCTGCGCCTTACTGCTCAATGTGTGAGAGTGTGCTGGAATTGGAGCAGGCAGCTCTGTTGAGCGATTCCTTGACATATAAGAGACATTTGCCAAGGAGGCAATATCACAATGCCCAATTTATAAGAACAGCCACTGCAGCTGGAGTGAAGTTTGTAAACAGTGAATGGTTTGTTCCAATATAGTCAGGGCACCTTGAACACTGCTGTTGAGGTGCCAAGTGGACATCATATAAAGCGACTGATTCCCAACTGTGGTGTTGATTGTGATACCTTGATGTCTCATTTGCGTTGGGCCTTGATGCTGAAATTGACATGATGAGTTGGTGCTGCCTCAGGCATCTGGTAAAGACTCTGGCAAGATATAGGCATCGCAGGAACACCCACCGCAGGCTGTTTGTGGAGGCACTCAAGCGGAAGATTGAGAATAGATACCCGGCAGATGCATACATTGAGAAAATGCAGGACACAGTGTTCATCACGTCCATCCAGATGTTTGACATGTTCACACCTCAGAGACGTGCCAGGCACCTTGTGTGGGCCACCTTCATGATGATGGCAGTTACATGTGTTGTGTTTGCATTCATGGCTGGCACCTTCCCCCTCTACCGGCTTCAAAAGGGCTATGAGTGAGTCCCCGTTTGTGAATTTGCCACTAGTGACCATTGTTTTGGCAATACAGTCATCGAGTCTGCTGGACACTTTCTTGCACACACAGAGTAAACAGGCCATGCAGCTTTCCCTGCCAAACAAGGTGTTTAAGACTTGTTCACACAGTTCTACATCATACACAAAGATGTGGTGGAATTGTCTTGGTCCATAGGGAGCTGCATGTAACCAAGCAGCAGTGCACTGCTGATCTGTCATGCTAGATTTGGCAAAGAGAATGGTATTGGTTGGTGTTTTGCGCCTTCCTATTTCTCCCTGTGTAAATGCACTGGCTGAAAATGCAAGCTGAACTTTTGGAGTGGCTCCAAGGCACTCCATCAGCCTGTCAAGCCCAGCTTCGCCACACCTGCATGAAAATCTCTAGAGCTGTTTCAAACTATTGGTGTGTGGTTCTCTCGACCCTTGTGGTCACGAGATTGAAGCACGTTGTTTGATTTTGTATGCGGCTGAGCAACGGTGGTATTGGGAGGCTAGTGAAACCACCTGGGAACTCGACTGTTGACAACCTACAAGTTTGGCCAGCAGTTGCTCAGGCATTGGTTTTGCATTTCGTTCTGAAATGAAGGCACACATCAATTTTGTTGTTTCTTTACATTCTCTTTCATTTTGATCGCCGGTTCGAGACGAATGAATTGTCAGGGAAACAATATGCGCAAAAAGGCCTTTCTTTGCTTTGCTCTACTTCCCCCGGCATCAGGTGATTGAGCAATGCTTTGTCTGTTGGACAAATGTAGCCAGCTCAGAACTTCATCACAGTGGTTCTCCAATGTAAGGCACTGCAGCCTGTGGAAATTTGTTTGTTTCTGCATTGGATGTGCGGGCGCACTTGTTACGCAGATACAATATTGTGGCCCATTGCGCAGAAACACACTCGTTGGTAAATGCACACAATTCTGTGCAGAATCCACATATGATATACATGCATTTTCCTCAGGCCAGCATGGACCTACAGGAAAGCCCAGACAGGTTACAATGTTGAACCCATTTGTGTCTGTTGGAAGGCTTATGGACAGGGAGCACCTTTTTTGTTGTGGTTGGATATGGGCAGGGAGAGTGCTGGTGTTGAAGCAGCCTGTTCCTGGGGTGGTGAACAGGATGTGAATCCTGGCAGGCTTTTCATCCCTGGTGTGTCTTTCAGAGTTTGGCTCCTCACCAGGATTTTGTACAGTGCTGCTCAATCGCAGTGTGGGTGTCCTCACTAGCATGTCCTGATTCAACGACCTGTGGCATTTCACAGGCCACTTGCTCTCAGATTGACCATTCAGGAAGACGTTGGGCAGGTGGGTACTGTTGGTTGATTTAATGGCTTCAACACAAAGTGTTTGCTGACAGTGATGGGATGCTGTCGCAGGGCTGATGTTGCTGCCCTCAGTTATGGTCCAGACGAGTTGTGGGACTGGGCAACAGTCCGCAACAGCACTACCAGGTTCGATTTCGAGTTCCTGCTGGGCTGGGGCGGTCGCTACCTGCCGGCAGTCAACGACGGCCAGTCCTATCGCTGGTTCACGTCGATCATGCTGCACCAGAGCTTTGTGCACCTCCTATCCAACGCCCTGATCTTTGTGGTGCTGGGTAGCTACCTGGAGTACAGATATGGCGGCGTGCGGGTGATGGCTGTGGTCGTCTTGGCAGGGCTGGGCGGCAACCTTCTCAGTGCGGTGGCCGAGGATCGCTGCTCGATCGTGGTGGGGGCCAGCGGCGTGGTGTTTGGCTTCATGGGCTTTGGCATCGTGGACCTTGTCCTCAACCGGGAGGTCTTGCTGCACTCTGCCATTCGCTTCGTCATCTGTGCCCTCTTCGTCACGTTCATAGTTATGACGCTTGTCATGGAGGAGTACAGCTCCCACATCTCGCATGCCGGAGGCTTCCTGTGCGGCTTCGTTCCGGCGCTCCTCTTCATCCCAGACATTAAGTACGAGCGCTTGGAGGCCATGCTGGTGTGGGGCGTGGCGGGCTTCGTTGTGATCTTCTTCACTGTGCTGCCCACGGCCATCTACTACAGCGTTCTCCCGACGCTCCAGTGCTGAGGGTTACCTCCCCGTCACAGGACGAGGGGCCCCCTACTACATATAATATCCCCAATAACCCAGGGTTGCCAATTCTTTTAGGCGTAGATCCATCAAGCCTCCGGTTTGGCGTACTCTAGTGCTGTCCCTCCGTTTCGCTGCTGGATGCTTCCCTGGACGCTTGTTCTTCTGATTTCCCTTGTGGATTGTTCCCTCCCAGACTGGACACGCGGCAGTTGAGTGATCAGCATGGGTCGCAGAACCACCAAATGATTCCATGTTGCACACCTTCATCGAGGGGTGTGCTCCTCGCTGCCATGGCTCTAAAGAGCTTGGCAGCACACTGCGCGCGGTTGGATGTGTGGCATGGCGCAGTGTCAAATGTGTGTGTAGTTGCAATGCTACGGGTTTGTTGTCGCCGATATAGTGTGTGCGACAGGCAAGTGGGAAGGGCCCTCGGGGTGAGATCTGCAGGAATTGTACACTGCTGCAGTGCGGGCTGTAAACTACAACTTGATATCTCGAGTGGCTCTGACGTGCTTGTTGCGGTCGCTGGTCTTCAGAGTTCATAGAGCATCAGCGCCAAAGGTCTGGTGCCTACTTCTTGTTTCCTTGTTGACGCAGTGTTAGTCATTGCGCAAGTGGGGCTCGCTGACTTGCGTATCGTACCGAGTTGCTACAAACCACTGTCCCCAGATCGTGACACTCGTATAGAGTGGCACCAAAGTCCGCATAAGATTATTGCTGTTGCTGTTTTATCCATTCGTTGCTTAAGTGGGTCCGCCTAAACATTTTCTATAGAATATTGCTCTTCTCAGTGAGCCAATGATCGTCGTTTATCGGCAATTGAATAATGTCGAAGCACGGACAGGACGCACAATAGGTAATTGCTGTCGGTGCCATGGCCATACAGCAAAATTTCCAGGTGGCAGTTGCCCTGGAATGCGGCTCAAACGCTGCAGCTCCATTTCACGTCAACTCGACGCCTCGTGGCGTATGTTTGTAGCACCATTGAATCACTTGAACCCTTGGTTCTCTGGCAGGAACTGTGGCTCGTGCACAAATTTGTTGTGCATTTGACTTTATCACTTATGCGCGTGTGAATGCTGGAAAATCGGAGGAGTGCAAGGTAGCAGTACCACTGATGGCGTGCCATACGATCGCGGATGTCGTTTTTCCCACTCATTTCGCACGATCTCGCTGTCACGGACATTGCATGGGCTGGAAAAGCCATGTACTCATGTGCTGCTCATGTTGGTGTGTCTCAGCCACAAAACCACTCCATTGCCGATGATGTAAGGAAAGGCACTATGTCGAAAGTGGTACGCTTAGCGTCAATTTGACGCTAGGGTGGGGTGGGGGGGTGGGGGGTGGTCTGGACCCGTGACGCTTAGAGCTTATGCAATTGACACAATTTCGACATAATTTCTGAAGATACACAAAACCCCGTTGATCCAGGGCAGGCGGCTCGTGACATGTTCCAAAGAACCCCCTTAAGCCTTCAAACTTAAAAGGAAGACACCAGTAGACAGCCATCAGGGTTGCCGCAATAACCTGAAGTGGCATTTATCATCCCGTTTTTCAGCGCATTCCAATCGGTACAATTGTGGCCGTTTGTGTTCCTCAAAAATGCCTGGAAATTGTCCAGCTCTGTTATGCAAGGTTGCTGAGCCATCCCGGCCTCGACATAAGGATTGACGCTAGGGGGGTGGGAGGTGTCTGGGCTTGACGTCAAATCGACACTAAGCGTACCAAAATCGACACAGAATCTTTGCTAATCAGGAGTTGCCTATTTGAGCCTCAAATTTTGAGGCAACTGTCAAATGCCAAGTACAACCCGCATTGATGCAAACGTCGGGGCCAAGAGGAGAGAGGGCTCTGAACTTGACCCCAATTCGACTGCAAGTGTGCTACATTCGCTGTGAGTTTACACCTATTGCAGATTCGTGGAGTCGAATGGGGTCACAAAAAGGTGGTTAATGGGCGTTGGACGCTACTCAAGAGCTCCCTTGTTCACGTGCTCCTGACGGCAAAGAACTGTTGGGCCCCGTTGTATTTCAAAGTACTGCTAAGTGACACCGATGCGCTTCAAAATTCTTGAAAGCAGTACTAAACCATCCTGGCGAGGTGTAGGTCACCTACCGGCCCACGAGAGCGCTCTCTGTCAGCACTGCTTATTTTATGAATCCACCTCGCTGGAGGCGTGCTGGCGCTGGGCCTGAAGGCACGCAGAACAGCACGCCCAACAGCATGGTAAAATTCCCTTTCGTGGTCGCCCTGGGCGCCCTTACCGGACTGATAACGATCGTCTCCGTGCACGACTTGGCGCGGCTGGCCCAGAGGGATCGAGCAATCAGGTTGAGAGATCACGACGACCCGGTTATGGGCGTTCGCCACGCGGAGACGGGTGCCGCCAGGCGCGAGGTGGCAGACCCCGAAGAGCGGCCAAAGACAGGCGGGTATCTGCGCGGCCCTGTGGCAGCATTCGGCGAGCTTGAATTTCTGTCACGACCCCAGAGGTGTCGTCACAGAAGAGTCGGACGCACGTGGTTTGCTTCTAAGAGAAGGAAGCATGTCATGGATTGGGCACCTCCCAGAGAGCAACAACCTTTGCGAGACCTTTCCCATACTGTAGAAAATGGTGCGAAAATCTCGGAACGCGACAGGAAGACTTGCATGGGTTGCGGCAGTAGAAATACATGCAGTCAGAGGCATGGAGAAAAGCCACAAGACCCCACCACCACTGAAAATGAGACTTTGGCGATGGACACACCCCGAAAGGTACCCGCCTTCAAGGATATCAATGTGAGCGTCTGTAGCATGGACATGGGTGGAAATGCTGATTGTGTAGTCCATTCCCAATCCAGAATTACAGGATGGAGGTCTCCAACACCAGGACACGGAGGAATCAAGCGAGTGGGATCAGAGGCCAGTCACAGTAGGGCAGTGTCAAATGTTGCCCCACACTGAGTGAGTGCAGCATGAACGCATTTGCCGAACTGGACTGAAATTCGCCGATAGAATTCCATGGCACGTTGCCATCATGCCAAAGAGATTGTTGAGATTGGGATGCTGCTGCGACTCTCCAGGGGAAATGGCTTGATGTAGAGCCCCGATTCTATCTATTGGGTGTTAAGCTGAGAAAGAATTGCACTCGCCACTAGGTCAAAACAAGACAGTCTTGAAGTGAATCATGATGGTGAAGTAACAGCAAGAACATGACATGCTATGCTGTGCACAAGAGTTAACAGTGGGTGTTTTTGGAGCCTGAAACAAGTTGGAGCAGTCTCAGAGTGTAAACGAGGATGGAGCTTGTGCACTAGACACAACTGCTGACTTTGAACAATTGCCAGGGCTTATAGATGTTTATGTGACACACTTGTGCAAAATCGTGTGTTGATTTCCCATCTGTGCTTTCTGTATTTCCAGTTACAATTGGGGAGAGCCTGTCATCTGGGGTTATGGGAACAAGAGATCATCGGCAGAGGAATGCTGTGAGGAATGCATGAATTTCAAACCCAGCACTACTGATCAACCAGAATGCAATGGTACAGTGATGGCTGCCTCAACTTTTCTGTAGCATTTTGTTTCCTCCTGTGATGCAGGCCAACCAGAAATGAATGATGAATGGCAGCTGTTGCAATCCATTTATTGTTGCTTCCTCCCTTCCACTGTGTTGATGGAGCTAGATACTGTACTTCCTGCCCCATAAGTGACTGGCAAAGCAATGCATAAACACAAATGTCTCAGCAAGGAATGGTGATGCATCTTGCACTTTCAAGGCCACGATTTGCATAGTCACGTGCACAACAATTGGAAATTTCCCCTCACTCAGAAACCCTGACCAAGGCTGTCCAGTCTGGACAGCCAGAAACCAGTTGTATGTGGTCTTACCAGCATGGTCGAAGCACATGTCCAAAGACACTGCCCAGCAGAATCAAGAGCATAAAGATCACACCTGTCTCCGTATGCACCTTCTGGAAGGAGCAATGTTCAAAAAAAGGATGTGCACGGTGTCAATGCTGTGGTTTCCGTTGACGCTGCCTTGGCCACAGGACTAGTATGAGCATAAACTGGATTTCTTCTTTGCTTTTGAGGCAACATCACTGAAAAGCAATTTGCTATTCGTACAGTGGAGACATGAGCACCGCTCTCATGGCCATTGTGTTTTGACAAATTCAGAAAATTGAACTGAGAAATTAAACTATGTGATCAAAAAAGAATGCTAAAATAGAGCAAAAGGAAGTTGGTCATACCAGCAAACAACATGTTTTGAGTATTTCCAGTACCTGCACAATGTATCTTGCCAATCGCCCAGGACTTGCAATGCACTGGTGCAGCGATGTGAAGCTGGAGACAACAGACTGCATATGAAAATGTGTAGTACCAGTTGCAGTCATCAATGTGATCTTTGGGAACCTTTGGACAGGTCCAAAGGACACCTATCAATGATTGATGTGCCTTCACTGTGGGCTTGTGCCGAATGCTTTTTGTGTTCCTGCAGTTTGGGTGTACTGTGGTAATAAGACTGGATGTGGCGAGCAATATCAGGACTGTTGGCTTAAGCACCTGGTATGAGGGTCTCGAAAAATGCACACAATACTACCCTTCAATGTGCACCTACATGAAGAAATGAACTAGCATTAGGGACTCAACCACAGAGTGGCTGCCGTACCATCTTGCCCTCCGTCATCCAGACTGGATCACGATGTGGGATGTACACCTTATAAACCATTTGCTGTCCAGCGTTTGCTTGTTAAGGCCCTTTACAGGCCCTGGCATCACTGCTTGCGACACGTGTGCCAAGAACGTGTTGACAATTTCGTGACACGGGGCTGTTGGTGGGTGAGAAATTGTTGCGACTGCAGTAATTAAGGAGTTACTCGGCAGTTGAACGCAATTTAAATGCGGATCAGAAAGTGTGCTTAGTCAGCTGCGTTGTTATCAGTGAGCCTTCTGGTCAGTGGCCAGGACTTTCTGTCTAAACATGGTAACTCTGACAATGGCATGCATTTTAGGGAGCAGGTTGTAGAGAAGGTACGCGTGCACGGCAGCTTTGGGGACAACACTGTTGGTGCTGTATTTTGGTGTTGCAATATTGGTAACGTGTAGCACCTCTTGTCACCCGAGCACCTCTCTTTGTGGGATGTCAGGCGCATCCCAGCGCTGCGAAACCATCCAGGGGCCCCAACGTCTTCTTCACGTCTGGGGTGATCACCGAGGAAACCGTGTTTTCATCAGAGGAGCAGAAGATGCAGGTGTGGGGTTCCTGTTTTCCGACCAACATTCCAAGACCGTGCTTGATTTGCGCCACACCAAGTGCATTTGGGCAGTAGCTTTTTGTGTGGCTTTTGGATACACCCCACGGTGGCATGAATTGAGGGGCAGTTTGCCGCACAGCATTGACCAAGTGTCCTAGTGAGCTGAAGAGCATCCACCTGTTCAATGAACAGGGCACAACAGTCCCAGCAATGAAGGAAAGGAAAGCCCAGTGCTTCAGTGCAACTTCGCCATGTGTATTCGCGGCAACATACAGTGGGACCAGCAAACAAACAGTGCCTGAAACAGAGCCCCCCTCCCCCCACCCACACACACACCCACACACACATACACACATGTACGTGGTTCGATCGTGTCTACATTGCTGCTTCACCGACGTAAGAGCTCCATTCGACGATTGGGGCCGCTGTCGAACCATCGGCCACATTCTCAATCAGGATTGCATGCCCCTCTGCTTGCACTTGCAAGCATCATTTCTTGTCTCAATTTGAGTGTCTTTGAAGATGATATTCTGTTGCTGTCTCTGACTTTGACCAGCAGTTGGCGATGCACCTCCAAATGCTGCATGGTGTTTGACAGCTTGTGTGATCCAGTCCAGTCCTCTGAATGACAGGAAGTATCACGTCGTGATCTCAGCGCAAGGAACGGCGGTGCACTGGCAGTCCAGAATCTGTTACTATTGGTGCGTGTGCTGGCCTGGACAGCGCCAACAGACATCACGGCTCACGCGACACGATGCTTCTTGGAATGGCGCGAGGCTCTTGCATCTTAATGTTAGCAGGGCATGCAGCACCGCACACACGCCACCGCCTCACCCAAGACGATGAATTTTGTTCACCCACTGAACTCAGCGCCTGGATAAACGACCCTTCGGACCGCGGTCCACAGTCGATCATCACGCAGTCGCCAGAGGTTGCTAGTGCAGAAATTAAAGTGTATCTTCTCTTTGGCTTCCATGACTAGTTGAGCGCTCCACACACCGCTGCCGCACCACAAATTTCGACGCATCACGACAAGATCACGTTGGCGGCCGCACGACTGGGGTCACTTTGTCTGTATGGCAGCAATGCCGCAGTACACTCCATTTTCACATTATGACAAGGGCAGCTGCTTTCGCCAACCCTCGCTTCTGCGAGTCTAAGATGGTGAACATGCGGCCACTGGTGCTACAGAATCTGTCCCGTGGGGGCCCACGGCTTCCCACAGCCTCCCCCTCGCCTTCCAAAATGGGCACGCCTACGTGGGCGTCCCCGGGAGGCCCGTTGAAATGCACTGCGCTTGGCATGCCCCATGTCAGTGCATTCCAACGGCCCTCCCAAGGATGCCTAGGTGTCTCACCCCACGACTGACCATAGTGCGGAATGAAAGGGATTCAATTGGGCAGTTTCTCGCGAGTTCAATGCTAGCGGAGAGGTTTGCTGAAGCGCATATTTCTTTCCATTTGCGAATCTATTCCGTGTACATTTGTTTTGGATTCCAGCAGCTCTCCTGCATCCCCTCGTTGCAATCAGAACCCGTTGCCTTGGAAGGCAATGGCTTGTCGAAGCCCGGCATTTATGCTATTGGTATGAAGATTTGTCCGCCGAGCGGCGGTCTGTTTCACCAACGGTTTGACCGAGGGTGCAACATCAGACATCCGGCATACTATGAAGAGGGAAAGAGACAGTCAAACATCTGCTTCCGAGGAACTTGCAAACGGGTGTGACGTGTGTCGTTGAATTGCCTGTGGCCCTTGATGTCGCGTGAATACGAAACCCACAACCTGCCAGCCACGGCTTTGGGCGGATAAAGCGCGTTCCAGGATATGCACTCAATTCAAGTACCCGCTTGTCCAGGTATAAGAAACGAAAGCAAGAATGCGAAAAGGGTCCCAATTGTGACATGGGGGGCTTCACTCGCATCCTCCATTCCGGGCGGCCTGACGACCTCATGGACGAAATACCCACGTACGTCGCGAAACCGCTCCCAAACGAGGCGGAAAACAGAGGGTGAGTGCCCAACTCGGGGGAGAAACCAAGGTGTGGCCAACAAAAAGTGGATAGAATGGCGGGACGGATTGCTTACCTCTGGTTAGAACATACCAACGGCCGCCGTTGCCCCCCAGCAATGCTCCTCTGCTATGGTGCATGGTGAATCATGGTTACACAACTTTTAAACTGAAAGTGTGTGAAACGGTAGCCTTAGCCGAAGCACAGGCACGGTGAGGGAATTGAAGAGACTCACTTGAAGGAATGCCGGCGTTTTGATGGCAATTTCTGGCATGCATTTTGGCATTCATGATGGCGGCATTCATTTTGGACTATGGCATTCCATCCGGGCAATACGCCGTGGGGGCAATGTTTCACAAGCTCGCAGGATCGGTCGCAATTTATTTCAATGCAAGCATGTCATCTTAGGGACTCTCTTGCAAAATGAATGGCCAAGGCGTTGGCTCTTCTCGAATGTGGTGTTTATGCGCTGACGCAGCGAAGTTCCTTGTGGCCAACAGATATGTTGTGTTGAATCGGCCGTACGCCTTTCTTCAGTGGGCTCGGGACACAAACATAGCAGAGAAGTATGTGCTGATGTCGGAGCCCGACCACCTGTTCCTCCGGCCGTTGCCCAATCTCATGAAAGGAGAACACCCAGGTGAGCCAGCATCCTGCGCCGGTGTACACGCATGCATGGAGGTCCCATGGTGATGGCAACATGAAGAAAACATACGGACGTGAGTACAGCGCAGAATACTGTACGATGCAGTATACGAATTTCAGTACGCAGTACTATACGAAACGCATTTCGAAGTACATTCAAAACATGACAAGGCCGTGGCCCTGTGCATATGGTACTTCTTCTGGGTGACTTAGAAGGATGACGTACTTCCAGCTACTCCTGGGGTGGTACCGCTTAGGGTCTTCTCGTGGGTAGCGTGCTGTCCACATTGGCGCACCGTACCCATGTCATATTGTGGCATTGTTGAAGGAGTTCTGTTGTACACAAGAACGCACATTTCCAGATACAGTTCGGTTGCCAAATATTATACCACTTGGGCGAACTTCAGATTCCTTGCCGTGAACTCTCTCCCTGCTTCGCATCTCACGGATAGATAGCCAAACTGGATTCAGAGGAATGCGCATTGTAGTCCACGGATCCCCGACTAGTAGTGAACAGCCACGCGAAAATGTTAACCAATGTTTGTCACTTGTCTACCCCTGTCGAAAAGGTACTGTCAAAATAGAATCGGCATTGAGAAGCATCGGCTGATTCCTGTGGTTTCTCTCTTTATGCTTGTGATTGGCCCGGATGTTTTGGTTTTGTCTGTTTCAGTCCTCGATGTGACATTTTTTCGAGGACCTGTTCAGCTGTAACAGTAATTGATCCACTCTCACCAAACGAGCCGGAGAATTAACCCGCCCATATGGCTGTGCCGCCTGTCTGAGAGCCGTTTAGCCTTTCTCACTGTAATTTAAATCTACATAGTGATTTAAAACACGTGTTGATGTGTGAGCACAGCCCCTACAATATTCAGATTCCAGATGATACGCAGATGAAGGAACGGCTGCTTGTTTCTTTGTAGCCGCCTTCCCTTTCTTCTATATCGACCCGGCGAAGAAAGAGTTCGCGAACATCACCAGAAAATTTACGGGGCAGTTGCCGCAAAAGGATCTGGAGGACATATTTCCCATGGGGAATGCTCCCACCATGTTGACATTCCTGGACTTGAAATCTGTGACGAACAAGTGGCTGAACGTCTCCCTGGCCATATTCAAGGATGATGAAGCGCAGAAGGTGTGGCGCTTGTGAAGTCGCTATCGCCGCCGCCAGCTTTCGTGTTGCAGTCACCCCCCACAAGGAGGGGACCCTCCCAGTCTACCAGTGGGTAACCTGTCCGCTGCATGCATATATGTACACAATGCTTCCATCGACGTATGCCCCACGCTGGGGCTGTTTTCTTTTTTTCCTTTGTCTCCTGTTTTTAAAAAGAGGGGAGAATCCTACAATTCTACGCTGTCTGGCTCACCAAGCCGGGCAAGGGCTTGGGACTATTGTTTAAAAGTGAACCTGCTTTACGGTTATCCAAACAATCGCTGAGTGGCTCCTCAACATCACAGCCCCACGAGCGCCAATAAACTGCTGGCGAGAACCTCTTGTGCGGCTCAATGTACCAAAGAACTTCATACCAGCGAGCCGACCGGAACTTCGCGTTGTCCTGGGCACGGAACGTGAGCGCACACCTTAATCTCATGGCCCAGCCCCCGTGGGACACGCAGCTGAGCCTCACCCGCAGCCGCCCATACTACATCCTGCACTACACGTACGGGATGGACTACACCTTGGAGGGCGTGTTCACGCCCGGGGTGGTGGGCAAGTGGCGGTTTGACAAGCGCTCCTACGCCGCGAGGCCGCCGGCGCGCCACCTGGGAGAGCCCCCTCCGGGCATGAGCAACCGCCTGGTTCGCCTTATGATCGACATGTTCAACACAGCCATGGACGACATCCCGTGCTGGGACGCGTACCACTCGACGGGCAAGGTGCAAGGGTGTTAGGGGTGCACTCGGATGACTCAGCCAAGGGCAATGAGAGCGATGTTTCACCGGGGTCCAAAGGATGGGAGATCCGCTGGGAGGCGCTGTGGAGACGTGTAAATGCACGTGGGGAGGCACATTTTGCGGGGCGGATAGTGCTACTGTTCGACGTTAGCGTGTTTTGATGCTTCGGATACCCGTACTGGCAATTCTGCTCGCCAATATAGCGAACATGGGTGTTGCAGCAAAATCTTGGGAGAATGCGACATCCAGGAAAATGCTGGGTCTAAACAATTCGGTCTCGTGTTGGCTGCCAAATGCTTGCAATCAAGATCAGCTGTTCTTGGGTCGCAGGGGTCGCATCCCTGGGGGCCATCGCGGACGTCCAATGCCTTTCATTTCCGGACATGAAGGCCGCTAAGATCATTTTCCGTGTTTCGGTTTTGCAGAGCTTTTAGCCTTTTAAAATCCATGTAGCCTTCGTGATAGTGATGAACCCTTCATGTCACGAAGGGTCATTGATGAGGGTCAAGGGTCATTGTCCCTCATATCCGGAAATTGTATCAGACAAACCACGAGGTCATGGTGCACTTCTCATTTGTGTGAAAACTTCTACGTCATCTCCCATCACATGAGTATCATCGGAAACATGTTGCAGAGGCGCGGATGACCAGGATACAATGTACCATGCTTGTATGTTGATTATCTGACTAAAGTTGCGAAGATTCTGAAAACGCCATGGACAGCGTCCAATGGCACCGCCAGGAAGCATGTGCTGCAAAAGATGTTGTTGTCTTCAATTAGATGCAAAACAGCTGTGCAATCAAACACGTGGCTGGCGCTGAGCCGCCAATGGCTCCATCTATAAATGCACGTATTGCACAGCACAGTCTCCAACTGCAGGGCACTCCAGCAACACAAATGTACCAAAACATAATTAGCAAACGCAATATTCGCTGCCCTGAGATAATAGGAATGCAACGAGATTCCTTCTGGTGTGGATAAGGAGTTCCATCTGTAAGGCTCCTGAGGCCATATGCCTGTCCTCGATGGAAATGAAACAGACAGCCCAGATAATCCTGGCATATCCAGAATAGTGGTGGGCACTGGGTTTGAAATGCCGCAAGGCGCCGCCAATTATCTTTTGGGAAAGCTTTGCCTACTTGGCACCGTTATTTGGTTATTACGACAAAATTCCTAATTTCGTTGGCGCCTAATTCTATTTGGCGCCGTACAGCGCCACCTAGGCCAATTCCTAGCCATTGCTTGCTGTACAAAGTGTTCCGACTTCTGTGCTTTGCCCTCTCGCCATGTGCCATTTTAACCTCTTTTTCCACCCAATGCGGTTGGCAATTTTCTCAAAGATGATTGTTTGTATGGATGCTTTTTTGTCGTTGGAAGTATCTTGTAAGGTGTAAAATACACTTGCTTTGAGTGTAGCCATACGTCTTGGGTCACCCAACCATTGCATTGTGGCCTCAGACAGCGAAGCGTGATACCCCAGCCAATCGTGCAACACAAATCAAGCACCTGGAAAAACAATGGTGAATCAATCCAATCAAAAGGTGCCTCTTGTAGTGGACAGCCCTATATGACCGCTCGTCATCATAAACAAAGCAACACAACAAGACAAGGCGACGTGATGCAATGCAAGGATGCGCAACCGCACACAACACACTTGGCAAACAAAGGTACACTAGACGAACGGAAATCACATGTGCGTGGCACACACACGGAAGATCAAAGACACTCTAGAGACAGAGAAAATTTTGGGAACGAATTCCCAGAAGAGGACATGCCATTCAATGTCATTATGGACTTGCGGTGGAAGATTCGCTGGCCGCTGCTATGCCGGCTGACGGCCATGCCATCAGGCGCCGGTTCCCTGGCAGGTTGAGCCACGGGGCAACGTTGGAAGTCAGCGCCCGTCGTCCAATGCTGTTGTTTGTGTGCATTTGGTCATTCCAGCGGCAAAGTGGGCTGATTAGCAACCCTATTATTAAGCGCGCCATCAGTAAAGTTGTCTAGCGCCGTTATTGTTATCGGCATCTAGTGGCATTGGGTTTGTGCCACGAATGCCATTAAATGACGGCTTGCAGTGCCGGCCTCTACACCAGAACACAAGAAGCGCCTGTTATCTTCACTTATTTGAATCTTAATGTTGAGTTCCTGATTATCTTGGTGAGTTAGTTACTGTGGATGGAACATAGCAAGATCGCAAGATTACTTCGTTTGCTATTCCTTGCTGTCTTACCTTCTGCCTTTTCTACATTGTGCTCCTGAAGCCTGCCCTCAAAATCCACATTCTAGGGTTCTTTGACATTCTTTTCTTTTGCTTTTCCTTGCTGTAGTGGTTTGCCCCAGCAACATCATCCAATGCACAACACGTTTGCCAACACATATCCACCATCCGCTTTCAAGTGACCCGCCCAGAAAAGCTTTGTTTAACCAACATCATCACACCAACATTATAACAGAATCTCCAAACTGCGATCACCCTTGTCGCTTGTTCCGAGCGGTTGCTAGCAGCAAACGGTCGATACCGACAACCGTCCAGTCCATTCCTATCGCAATCAACATCGATGTTAGGGACATCCCCAGCGACTTGGCTCTCCCCAGGCGCGGGACCTGTGTTTTCTCATGCGCCGTTGGCGAGTGCAGCAGCATTCACCCACACACATTCCCGTCAACCCAACGCAAGTTTCGCTGCCCCTGGTCCCGAACTTCCATTGCGCCCGCGATGCTGTATCATCATCATCATCATGATTTTTACATGCTGTATCACAGCATGGCCAGCACCTTTGGAACAGCTCGACTGGGAATCGATCTGCGCAGTACACCACGTGCGCACACGCCACCCCTGCGCCCCGTCTCTCCCCCGGAGGTACATTCCGGTCAGCATCCAGCTCGGCCGCCGGTGGCGGCCGCGCAAGGCTCACAATTATTGGACTCTCCCGTACGCGCGCCCCGGCCATGGCATCCGGTGCGGAGGACCTGGCCGCCGTCCTCGAGGACACGCAGGCCTCCCTGGGCACCGCGCTGGCCCGCATTGAGGCCCACCGCCTGCGCGAGGGCCTGCTGCTCGCCCAGGTGTCCCGCCTTAGGGCCCAGCTGAGGGCCCAGGGAGTGCAGCCCGAGGAGCCGGATCCGTCGCCGAGATTCGGCAGGAGCCGCTCGCCGTCGCCGACGCGGTCGCCGCGCGGGCGGGCGCTGGGCGACCGGGAGGTGGAGGACCACCTCGGCAGCGACGGCGGGCAGTACATTGACGCGTACTTGGCCAACGGCGCGGAGGAACGGCCGGTGGTGCTGTACACTGAGGCAGGGGAGGTGGGCTGGGGATGTTGTTGGGGGTGGAGTTGACATGATTGGTGCTTGGGATCGATGTGTGTGCGGATAGGGGGGGAAGGGTGGAAATGACGTGGGGTGATGTTCGGTCCAGGTTGCGGCGAGCCTGATAACCACGCCGGCGTGGATTGGGATCCTGGAGCACAAGGCACGCATTGGCGCGGGGGAGATCGTGGGCATGAGCACGCTGGACAACAACCCCAAGGCAAGGGCACCGGCGGGGGGAGGATTGCGGTTGGGGGCGCAGCCGCGGGCCGCGCGGCACCTGCGTCGAAGGGGAATTGGAGGCGTGCGCCGCGGTGCGGATCACTGCGTCGCGGCGTTCGCGCAGGGCGCCGTGGGCGGTCGGCGGAACGGATGTTGATTCTCTTTTGGCGTTGTGAGGACGTTGGCAACCGTGTCGTGCTGTCATCTTCAGCGCCGGGCTGGAAATTGGACCCGGGGCTCTGGGGGGAGGCAGGAAAGTTGAGGTGCAATGGAGGCGCACGCTCTGTTCTTTGCCATGCCATGGGGGCGTTCATTCTCCCGTCGCTTTCAGCTCTGGTTGCCTTGTGTCCAATGCCCTTGACCCCTTGTCCTTGCAGCCTGGGCTGGGAAGCAAACCCAGTCCGAATTCATGGATGAATTATTTCTTCGGTCAAAAGAAGGGAAGGCAGGAGTTCTCCCGACCGTCTGCTCCTGTTCAAATTCCAAGACCAGCTCCTTCCAGCGCCGACGCTGAGCCCCACAGTGGATATGACAGCGCGCCTGAGGCCGAGGATAGGCCCTCCAGATTTCAGTGGTTCTTTGAGCGGCATCCAGCCAATACAAGAGTGAAGAAGACCAAGGGAGATAGGGCCGACGCGCACAGCGACGGAGGCGACGACGAGCCGTGCAATTCGACAGGAGTATGCCAAGTGTTGTGGAAGGACGGAGGCGGCACTGGGCAACTGAAGCGTGCCGTGTTCGAATCGTCTGTTGCAACGTGAGTGTGGAAGTGGGCAGGTGCCTTGAATCTGAATCTGCCAATGAGTCTCAGCAACATTTCAGTACATCCTCTGCACTTTCCCGAGCCTCTGCCAAACTTGGTGGCTGTGCTGGCGTTCCCAGAAGCTGCGCATTGGCCTGTGGCCTTCCAATGAATACAATGGAGAATGCCGGATTGTTAGTTCTTGCTGCAGCGTATTCAACCCTACCGCATTTTGATATTTAGCCTTGCGATTGTGCTGCACAATTTTCCATCAGGACATTATTTTGGAGTCCTCCACAACGTGGCCACAGCCGGAATGGCGACTTAACTCAGTTCACATGGCCTCAATGCTGTTTTTCCATTGTAGCAACAAATGCATCCGGGTCTGCTGGATGGCATGAGCACTCCAGAGAAACTTGTGCCACGACTGGGGCTGCTTCACATTTTCCTGCCACCATGACGTTTTTGTTAGAACGGTAGGATATACTATGTTATGTGCCACTCCTTTGGGGTCCCAAGCTTTTCTGTGAACATTTGTTGATAATACCCTTGATGTGTGGCAGGCAGGCACATTTGCACCAGCACATCGAGTCCTGGTCAGATGCTGCTGCCAGGAATGCTGCGCTCAGGAATGTCCCCAATTTGAATGGCAGGTGAGCACACAAGTGAAAGGGCTACTTCCATAAGGGGTGTGCTTTTGCTTGCATTTTTATTCCATGCTTGGCTGGAAACCGCATGGAAGGCAAGTAAGCTTGTTGGCACAGCCTAACATCAGCCATACACATTTACAAAATGTCCCAAAGTTTGTGCCCAAGTCCCCAAAGATTGAGTGCAGTGTGGTACTGCATACTTCACACTGACGCAGTGGCCTGTGGTCATGTGAATCAGTCCGGCAGGGATGTCTGCACACTGAAATAAGACATTTGTTGGAGGGGAACAGTGCTCATCATTACCTCGTTGGGTATGTTCTTTGTCTCATAACAACATGCGTATCTAAAGCAGATTTTGTTATTGCACATCTTGAGATTGAGTGCCTTCTCACAGTGCATGTCATCGAAGTGGTTTTCGTTTCGATTTGTACAAACGCCCTGTGCTTGGGCAGCTGCCCGCTGGCAATAAATGGCCCCTTTGTGGTTCCAGCGCCCAAAACGAAGACAGCCGGCCTGACGAGACCCGGCATAAAGGGTCTCCAAGTGCCTCACCACCTGAAGAGCGCAAGCCCACAGGGGAAGAAGGGGAGCTGGTGCTGCCAATGCACTTGATGCCCACAGGGAGCCTGCCGTCCCTGAACCAGCCTTCAGTCCTGCTACTTGAGCAGCACTTGACAGGAATCATGGCAGCTGTTCCCAAGAGGATGCAGCAGGCCAACTGGGAGCTGTTATACAGCACCACGAAACATGGATTCAGCTTGCAATCGTTGTATCGGAAATCAGCTGGTGCCGCCCCCACTGTCTTGGTCATAAAGGATCAGGCTGAGCATGTGTTTGGAGCGTACTGCTCAGAAGCTTGGAAGATTGCACCCAGGTTCTATGGCACAGGGGAGTCCTTCGTGTTCCAACTGGAGGTGAGTGCTGATCTGTCCGAGTATATGGCACTTTCTCCACTCGCCACAGTGTATCTGCTGTGGAAGAGCGCTGTCAGAGAAATGGATGCTGTTGAATGTGCTGGACGGAAAGGTGGACAACCGCAAGACTGCAGGGAGAAAACTGGTGGTTGAACAGCGAGGTTTCCCAAGGTTTTGTTTCATCCAACCGCTAGTGTTTTCACTGTGATGCAATGAAAGGCTGGCTGGCACTGGTGCTCGTTGCAGCTGTGTGAGGGCAAATTATGCACTGTGTGTGAACTACAGTCACAACATTCAGTGTGTGTCAGAAATGCTTACAACCTGTCACTTTGGATCCTTGCAGCCCCACAGGGTGTACTATCCCTGGAAGCGCAAGCACAGTGTTCGGAACGACTTCTTCATGTTCGGATCTCAAGACTCAATTGGTGTGGGAGGCACTGGACACTTTGCTATCTGGGTGGATGGCGAACTGCTGTATGGGCATTCTGGGGTGTGTGACACCTTTGGCAGCCCCTGCCTTGCCAGCAAGGATGAGTTCAAGGTCATAGCGCTGGAGCTGTGGGGACTTGCATAAATGCTTTCCATGTGCTTTCTACTGCATTTGTTGCTCACAGACGTGCTCTGCATAAGCAATTCATTTGGGGAAGATCAGTCCATTCTTTGGACATTAAGCTATGAAGGATGTGATCTACTGTGGCTTCTGGCCTGCTATTTTTCGGACAGCGCCATGTGCTGCAGGGCGCGCTGTGCATGTTGCAAGAACTTCAAGAAACGGGAATGGGATTGCCAGTTGTGGGTGGAAGCGACAGCAGCTGGGCAGACGCACAGGACAGCCCCTGAGGACTGCAGCATCCCCCAGCTTTTTAGTCTTTTGCAGCATGAAGTCTGCATGGTTTATGTGACCTAAATGTGGCCTGGGTTGTGTGAACTGGGTTTGTACATTTCGCTCTGGTCCAGAACATGTTGGCAGTGTCCAGGGAGGTGGTTCAGGCCAGGGTGGAGTTGGGGAAGGGAGGCGCCGTTTTCAATGCACATATGGGCTTTTGGTGTGTGTTAGATTCACTGGACGGTGTTGTCTCATCTCCCCTCCCAGAAAGATGTTGCTTTAGCAGTTGATTTCCTTGCGATGATGCTGCTGTCCAACTTGAAATGCATGTAAGAATAGTGGGTGTTTGCGGACTGCAGCACGGAAAGCTTGACTTTGGACATGCGTGCGTGTAAATCCTTGGATCACCTTTGTGCGAGTCGGATATAGCAGGCTCAGGGCACTTGCAAGGGGATATTGGCGGCCCTTAACGAATGCTCTGTGTATGGGAAGCTGTATGGAGCCATTGGCGAATGGTGTGACTAACTGTAATCCTTTGAAATTGCCTTCGACAGGACAAAGCGGAGCCCTTGCACCTAGCATGCGATGACGGGTGGCGAAGGATCCGAGAACGCTTTTATGCCTCGCCTTTTGTCATGGCAGGACTGCGAGTGGGCTGTGTACAGGTCCATGCTGTGGCCAGATTCCGGTGTCCATCGCCGATCACAACGCGCAGTTTCCACAATTGTTTGTACAACGCAAACCCTGGGCCACCCAAATCCCCGTAATTGACTCCTGTCCATCCCACACCAGCAGCGAACATCGCTCTCTGGTGGGAGTGGACTGGAGCAAACGAAAAAGAGAGCGGGGGCCAATGGTAATGTCTAAAACACAGTAGGGGTTCCTATGTTGCGCTGCGCTCCATCACCCTCCCATATGGGGTGACCGGGTGCTATGGAAACAAGTCACCAAAATGCATTTACATGTCACTTGCCATCACTTGCAGCGCGGCAGAAGGCCCATTGGCCGCGAAGGCGGTTGTTCAGAAGCCCTATTGGACCATTGCAGTTGCGTAACCCCATGCTATCATGGCACAGCGTTGGAGCACCGCGTTGGAAGGTTGGCATGGGGGTCGTCCATTCGGTGCCTTCCCTGTTTTCAAACGATTTGCAAAAGTACGAGGAAATGAATGTGCCACTCCAGTACAACCTCGATCATGGTGCCTGTCACAGTCTGTCACGCTGCCAAGCAACGCGATTAATGTGCAATCCTTGCGTACTGATTTCAATTGCGTTGCCTTTTGTGCATGCTAAATTTGTGCTGCCATCTGGTGCCAACTTGCATAAAGCGGCCGCTTCATGTAGTGCTGGCATTTTGTAGCGCCAGTGACCTGGTCGTAACCCCATACAGCTCACACAACATCTGAACCTTTATGCTGACTTACTTCGACCGCACCTCTCTATTGGATGCACTTGAGTGTTTACCAAACTAATTCTGGGGTACATCACACCACAGAGGAGCAAAATGTACCTCAGCAAAATGTACTGTCAATAATGGAGCGCTGTTGGAAGCCGGACACCATTGCGGGCGCTGTATAGGTACGGCGACTGTATCCAAGATTTGAGGAAGGCTCTCTGGTCATGGTTTGGCGATCTTAGCACAAAATTTGGCAGGGGTACCTTGCCGAGATGCTGAGCATGCTGCAGCTGCAGGAAGGGCCTCTGTTTGCGAACTACCCCGGCACACCTGCGGGCGACAATGGCCGCCATCTATTGACTGCCTTGGCAAATTCTTGCCAGATCACTGCTGTCACTCCGCATGAAGGCTGGAGAGGAAATTGGGTGCGATCGGCAAAGGAGATTCTTCAAACGAATGGCAGGGTTTTCATGTTTTCGAATATCATTTCTTGAGCATATCTCACCGCTTACTCGTATACCATGTATACATTGGGGAAGTCACTGCTTCACCCGATCAGTGCACGTGCATGTGTCTCAGAGCCTTGCACTGTGGTTGGCCTCCCAAAAGTGGAGAATGGTTTCCAATCTCATGTCTCCATCCCTCTTCCATTTGAAGGGCACTAGGCTGGCGGCGGGGCCCCTCCAGCAAGCCATGGGTCGGAAGAAAGGCACAAAGAGAGAATCCGTGGCACTGCTAATGCGTACTGCAATTGCAGTGCCGCCTGTGCGCCACTGCTAATGCCTATTGGCTGCGCTACATGGTAGTGAGTACGAAGGTGGCTGTCGAAGGGCTTCAGTTTGGGAGAACTACCAAACGCAAGTTTGTGATTGAATGGTTGCTTCTGTGCTAGAATAATGGTCATATGTCAGAATTGATTGCTTTTTTCAAATTCCTGAGAATAAGTTCATTTGGAATGGGGCCTAGTGGCACAAAGTATACCATGATAGTTGATTTGCTTGTTGCGGCCTGCACACGGGAGGATCAGACCATCAACGCCGCTGGACTATCTGAGCCATGACCCGCATGGAGAACATTAGCAAAGACATTCCGCTTGCCACAGTTGAAGATGCCAACTTTGTGTAACCCCGATTCCATTGGTATGAATAGTACTCAACACTGCAGCGCCAGGATGAGCGTCTCACATAACGTTGTTGGACACACGTACGCACACCGCTCGTTGGGGTGCTTTTCATCCAATGACAATAAACATAGGCAACGATTCCATGTAACTATGCCAAAACATTTCACAAGTACACGTATTGTGTTCCCACAATAGAGCTATTGTGGTTTGATCAACACACGCATCAACGCATGCAATAGGTCATGACCTGTTGCGCGTCATATACATAGTTACAGATTCCATTTGCAATAGGGACCTTGCAAAAAAACCTTGAGGCAACTCGGCCAACAATTCCACAGGCAGGGTTTGGAAACACAAGAATAAACAAAGCAACACTGCAGTGATGCACATGTTCCCTGTTTTAATTCTGGTGCAGAAAATACGGGCAACAATGGGACAAATTTTGTGACAACATCATCCTCAATGACACATTCTTCAATAGCAAATGATGTCTACTCACTTGGCATCGACATTGACATTACTTCCTCTGGTGAACAACTTTGGGCGTCCGCCCTATAGACCTGTAACCCCAACGTTGGCGTGCACCGTTTGATCCACCTCACAATCTCAAAAGATTGTGGGTCAATTTGATTGAATTGACTTCATAGGCGGACTGAGCCAATTTTCCACCTTTCTTACCTTGATGCGCCGCTTTCTTTCATAGCACACCTCCTACCAGTGGATTGTTTCCTGCAACGATCAATGCCAACACATGGCACGACCCTTCAGGGTATGCACACAGAAAAGAGACATGCGCAAGCCTCACTCCAGGGATAGTAAATCACACACATTGGGGTAACGTTCCCCTCACATGGATGCAGAGCTTCCTTCCCGAAAGAATTCCACTCGCCCGACCTTTAGGTCCCACAATCGATATTGGAGGTGGCCTGCTCGGTGCACCAATCTCAAGGCCAAATTGTCTTACAAACCGGGGACGACTACACTGCACACTCCCACCTTATTTGCATATTCTCAACAAGAATTGCATACGGCAATTTGAAGGGTCCACTTCCAAGGGTCCTATCCATTCCAAAGGACCATTTCCCTTTACAACGGATTAGGCCTAGTGGACAAATCCTAGGGTTCTGCCATTCATTGTCCCCTCAACGCACCCTGAGCCCCACCCCATGGGGTCCATTGTTCCTTACAGTAGACAAAAGTCTCCTCAATCGAAAATTATAAAATTATTGCCTCCCAAAAGGGAAATGGAATTAACTATCCTGTTAATGGGTTTCTGCTAAGGACGACGATTGGGTGGGCGCGCAACGGCCAGGGCGGGCCGTTCCGCCCTTTGGGACAGTTTGGGCCATCCATCACTCGGTTTCTGTCACCCTTGTACTCGGGGTCAGTGCTGCCCGACGCACCCAAGGGCGGTGGGGTTGATCCTTGTACCTTGGGCGCAGCCAAGGGGACCGGTCAAGCTGGCCCTTGGGTTTGGCGGGGAGTTTGGCGGCAAGTGGGAGCAGCTATTTTAGGCGCGACCCTTGGCGCCCCCCTTTATCTTGTTTCGCTTCGTGCCAACCTTTTGGCACAACCCGGAACCACAGAGTGGTTCGACCTTCCAGCCTTCGCGCCGAGTCCTTTCTGTATGAACCCCAGCCTGGCCGAACAGTGGCTGCGGGCTCAGGCGCTTCATTTCAACCAGCGCCTCCCTGACCGTCCTATTGAGGTCACGTGGGTTTCCGACCCCCGCTTACTCCCCCGCTCAGTCAACAACCAGGTCGCCAGGCCGGACTTCACGTCTTTTCCGGCGTGGTTTGACGTACGGGAGACCGGCCAGGGCCAGACCGTCGCCGCGGCCTTGGGACCCAACTCCGGCTACTTCCAGGAGTACGCGAGCTGGGCGCCGTGGGTCGCGTGGCAGTTCGACTACACGGCGGCCTTCGTGGACCTGGTCGCCCATCCGAGTCTACCGCCTTCGATCCGCGATCTTCTCCTGCCGTACGTCTACGCCTCGGTGGCCATTACCGAACGGCAGATCGACCAACTGCGCCTCCATCAAGTGCACGCGAAGCACCGCGGCACCGGGCTCGAGGGATCCTGGCGCGCGCTGCAGGCCCAGATCCGCCTCAGCGAACCCGAAGGCGGCTTCACCACCGAGACCATCGACGGGACGCTGGGCGCCATCCGCAAGGAGCTCCTCACCCAGGAGGTCAAGCTTGTGACCAAGGCGGCCGCGGCCAGTCGGGCATCCAAGGCGGGGAGCGGCGATCCTCCGGCCCATTCGAACGGCCCGTCGGGGAAGCGGGGAAAACGCCGCAATCCTCCTCCAACGGCGGGTCCACCTCCGGACGCGTGACCGACTTCCCCTATAATCGCACCCGCGGACGCCTCTCGGTATGGCGGAGGATTGGAGCGCCCTCGCACGTGCTCCGATGGATCCATTCGGGCGCCCCGCTGCCGTGGGGACCGCAGGGTCCTCCCCCACCCTTCGACCAAGGGGAATACCCGATCCGTTCGGCGGAGGAGCGGGCGGGCTGGACGGCCCTCCGCGAGGAGTATTTGGAGACGGGAGCAATTGTCA